AGCTAGACAGTGATATATTGTCCGCTGCTCGACCACCGACTCTGATTCCGTACCGCACAGTTTGACCAAAAAAAAAAACTATTCCTATCATTAACATTTATTTCTTTGCAAAAGTAAAATGAAGAATTAATTAACGCACAAAAGACAAATAATACTCGAAGCATCAAGGCATGAACTGAGATGCTGGAAATATTAATTAGTGATTCCCTTAATTAATTAAAAATAATGAAAGTACATACGGGGGCATCAGTGGTGATGTCGAAGAGACTAGATCTGCGGCGTCTTCGGTTGTGGTTGTTACGCCTGAGGAAGTACTTCTGAGCATGACTCGCCACCTGAGTCGGCGTCCGAGTCTTCACGAAGTTTCTAGAAATCCCCCTCCAATCTCCTTTCCCCACCTTCTGCAAACCCAACAAGAACAGCCTGTGCTCCTCCTCCGTCCACGCAACACCTTAAACCAAAACAAAACATAAAATGATTAACAAATTAATCAAAATAAAAAAAAGTAATCAGTATAAACCCAGATCAGAATAAAACAAAGGCAATACCTCTCTTGCGCTCTCGGCGGTGGCCAGAGGCGTGTACGACGTCGTCTGAGGCGTAGCCGGCGTCGCCGTTTGAGTCGGCCTGCAGGTTCTGCTCATACTGGGAGATATTGTTCATGCTGGCGCTCTTCCTGAACGCGTTTCCCTCCGTGACTCTCACGCCGAATAGCATGATGCCGTTTTCAGCCGAGGCGGCGCCACCACTTCCGCCGCTGGCTTCCGTACATGTGCGCGAGTTATGGCCGTTGTTCCCACACTGAGAGCACGTGCGCGACATGATCTCCTTCTACGACGTCGTACTCACTCGCACGTTGTTGTTGGTGTTCTGCTTCTGGAGAGACGACGACGGCTAAAACTAATTTAAGAGAAATTTAAAAAGTCATGCAAGAAAGAAAGAAAGGTTATGAGGGAAAAAGGTAGGAAATTGGTTTGTCTAATGAAAGAGAAAAAAGAGGTCTGCGTTGGCTCATATATAGTTGCAGTTGCAGCTGTAAAATAATAAGCCCGTACACTATTTTGGGGTTTCTTTGTGCTCCCTTGTGTTTATTCCATCTGTAACAACATGGACCGGGGAACTCCAAGAAATGTTACAGTGCTTCGCAGTAGCATCGCATTAATGTATCCGTAGCTCGCATGCTTAATAGCTTCTTTAAATCGTGAATCAGGGCCGTTGAATATGGGTAGACAATGTCGATACAACCAAGCCTCTGTGTCATAGTAATGTCCTAATACAATGGGCCAGGTGTTTTCTGGATGAGCTTTATCCTGTGCGCCATCCATAGGATAAAATTTAAAAAATTATCCCTACCGTTTATTTATCATGTAGCGGATCACACTGTCTCTAGTTATTTGGAGGGTTTGGTAGGGATTTTTCCTTAATTATTTATTTCCCTTAATCATGTGGTCTTCTTATTATAATTTAGGTGTAACCCTAATTTTATCCTTCCCACAAGAAGGCATTATTGTTAATGAAGACTATGGTACATATTTTCTTTTTTGTATTAAAATCATTGGGGATGAAAAAATATATATATAATAGAAAAAGCGATGGTGGAGGAGCAAAGTATTCTGTGCACCGTCAACTGGGCATATTCGCTGGCTCTTTTAGAAAAATATCGTTGTCTCAATTGCTTCACGTTAATTAAATACATTTCGCTGATTGGCTGGAAGTACATAGTCTAGTCTCTTTGTGGTGGTGGAGGATGTGGTTGTGGATGAGTAAAGATTGGGCCCCACCCATCAACTACACACACCCTCTCTCTTTACCTCTACCTTTCTTTGTGGCTCTATGCATCCCTTTGCCTTTCGTGGTGGATTGATGCCTTTTTACTTTCCTCGCTCCTTTTCTTTTCTCTTTATTTCTGTCTTCCAACCTTTTTCCCAGCTTGGTGCGTTCGTGCAGAAAAATGTGTGTGAAATGAGAATAGCATATTTTCGAATAATTATAAAATGTCACATAATAAATTTATCATGATTAGCTAAGATAATAAAACATTACTATTCAAGTTTCACACAAGTATTTCTCGTGTTCTTAATGAAACAATTTTATTCCGTTTCACACAAATGTTTCTCGTATCCTTGAGGGAGACTCGTAAAGTAAAGTGACAAAGTTTGTCCACCATAAACTCTCAAAGCCAATGAGGTGAAGCCACATAAGTGGTAGTGTAGAAAACAGGGGGCTGCGACTGTGAGCTATTGGGCTGTGTTGTAAAGCAGAAGAGGGGTCATGTCAGTTTATAGGCGCTCTTTGGAAGCACGTGGTCCTCACTTATTGGTTCATTTGATCCTTTAATTTTTCTTCCTACTATTGACATTGAGGTTGTGTCCAAAAACCCTTTGTTTTCTTCTGCAAATTTTCTGCAGTGACTTCCCATGCAGGTAATGCCAAAATCCGGTACACCATCGTGGCGGCTAACGTTACTTTCATATTGTCCTGCCTTCGTCTTCCTCTTTAATTATTCAGTTTCCCCTAAACTACAAACTACATTTAATTATTTGGCTAATCTAATGTTTTATAAGTTTAGCCTCGATTATTAAATCATAGAAAAGGACTATATATATGCGATTTACTACGAAATCAGTAGAGTTATAAAATCATATCCAGCTTGAAAAATAAGTACTTGCTATAATGGTAGGGTTATAAAATTATTCAAAATGAGTTTATCATAATCCGAGGAGAGAGGTACACAATTCAAACCATCATGAAAGAAGAATGAAGATACGTAACTATTACTTAAAAGAGTTTTCTACCGTCCAATCTGTTGACTCCATATACGTTGTTGACATATAAAATATCTGCTTTTCACATGACAAACCTTTTATTCTCACGTATATCACATGATGGAATAAAAATAGACAGAAATAATATTGGAGGTTCCAACATTGAGAAGCATAGCAAAACACTAGGCAAGAAACATGCAGCTATAATATCTCCACGACTCTCGGATTTATTTAGCCCATCCTATAGATAATCCCCGCTTTATGGTGGGGAGGAAAAGGGGACGAAATTTAAAGGACTTTGAAAACGTGATAGGTGTGATTAACTTGAAGTACTAGTACAATAACATATTCAACACGGAACAACCTTAGTTAGGGTCCAAAAAAATACCTTAGTTAGGGTAGGTTTTCCTCAGAGCAAAGTATGATATATTCGTACCGTCGTAGGCTGTAGGGTAAAGCCAAGCAATGGTCATTATCACGCAAAGACGAGGTGCATCTCATGTCCACGTTGGGATAAGTTTCTGACCTTCACTGGCCATTCAATCAAATTGATTGGTGCATTTGGTATCGTCCATCTCAGAGAGGATTAGGACAATATGTCTTGATATTGGTTAACAACAAGCCACTCCAACCAATCATCGGCAGCGATCTATTAGTTTGACCAAAAACAAGATTGGATCACCGGTCAAACAACGCTTCTTTTTTATTTATAATTGCATTTTTTATTCGTGTAATCGGGAGAAATCAGTTGCAAAAAGACTTATAGCTCAAATAATTAAGATGTTAATTCCCCTCACTTAAGCAGCCACCATCATTTTATGAACTCAAAACGTACGAATTTCATTCTAATTTAGCCTTAAAATTCCTCATCAAATATGTTATTACATGCATCATTGGAATCATTGCCGTTCATTCAAGTGTAGTACTAATAGATAGGGTTGATACCCGGCAGCCTGCAACAACATGTAGGATGTAGACCCTACAAAGATATAAACAGAGTTGATTATAGGACCATGTCTTTTGTCGTCTTCTTCTTATGTCCCCGGAACCGACCTCTGGTATTTAAACTTGACCAAAAACTTTGATCCACTTGGAGTGTCTATGGCTCTGAATTTGCATTTATGAGGATATATAATAGGCCAATTATATGCCTCCAGCATATACACTACATCCAAGCTGCAAGATGACAACTAGGGCATAATGCATTGATGGATAGAGAGATGGCATCTGTAAAATGAAGAGTTTTTTCTTTCTTTCTTTTTTGGTCGAAACAGTAAAATGAAGAGGTGGTAATGGTAATGAGGAGATATCCTAGTTATCGTGACTAGTCTTTTTGGGCTGTCTTTTATCTGATGAAGCATTCTTTTTTAATTTCTTTTTTAACAAAACTATATACATTGGAGAGGGATTGAACTCGGACGCAAAGAAATGGGTACACTGTCTTAACCAACTAACTTAACTCACATATATCTATTTAATGAAGCCTATTCACTTCATTTCATTTTTTTTTAATTCCCAAAACAACACTAAACATAAAAAAATTTATGCCTTAAAACGTCACTCTTATCTTCATCAAGAATTCTCATCATCTGATCAGCAGGAGCAGAAAAATCATGGTAGCCCAAATCCTTCTGGTGCCCCAACTTAGCTCAAAAATCAGCAGCACAATTGGTCTCTCTATAAGCACGAGTAATAATGCAATCCCATAGTCTCTTCCACAACTTTCTACATCTAAATAGCGTAACGTACATAGGATGAGTGGTCAACTGGATTTAATAGGAAAAGTTAACAAAATTGACGGCTAAATCATTTGTCTTAACGAAAGTGAAATTAAAGGACCACGGGAACAATTTTGAAAATTGAGGGACTTAAATGTAAATCGAATCTAAATTCAGTGACTAATAAAACGATTAACCATTTATAAAAAATAACACTAGGCTATGTGCTAGCTAGTTGGTTTTTTAACCTTCTTCGTAAGAAATATTTTCGTCGCTTAGTCCGGTAAAAATGCCTACAACCAATGGGCCAACGAGCCTTAGGATTGAATTATGGGCCACAGGCCCAAAATATTTAGTGAGAAGGCTTAGAGCCTTTTTCTTGAAACCATACGAGGTGACGTTTGAAATCAAGTCGGCAAGTCCAAAACTTCTCCCATGCACTGCCTTCAACATCAGGCTTGTCTTTAGCCGTTGGATGCACAAAGCAACAAATTGAACGAAACGACTGACCGTATCCAATCCCAAGCAAATGATCAAAAATATCAACGGCCCTGTCACCTATTCTACAGTTTTCGATGGAAGCGGGAAGCCTTCTCCGTAGTCCAATTCCATGGACCCCAAAACGCCCTCTCAGACGAAGTCTTGGCCTCACTTTCCCGCGCCCTATTAGGGCTTTGAATTCAGATAGTCGTTACAGAGGCCCCAAGCCACAGAGAAATTGGGTGGCCGATTGGGTCTCCAACAACGACGACGCCGTCCGGAGCTTGCCGATTTACGCGGGAAGCGCCTCCCTCTTGGCCGTCCTCTTCAACCGCACCGTTTCGGACATCGCTCTGGTCGCTGACGCCAGCAGGTAACCACGCAACGCAATACTCTCCGCTTAATTTCTGCGTTTTAGTATCATTTTCAGCATTTCGAAAATTACTGTTTCAGTTGGTAATTAGGCATTGTGAATTTGTGATTTGTGAGCCTAAATATTTGTATGAAATTATGTTTAACTTGTAGTTCACAGTCTAGAGCTGATTTGTTGACGTTGGGATTGGCTGTGACCAACATACTAGCAGGTCTGGTATGGCTGTCAATCAGACCAAAATCTATATCTAAGGTGAGAAATTGAGATCGTTGTATTTTTTTTTATTTTAATGACTTAATTGCTTAAGTATTTTATTATTTGATTCAGGTGAATCCCGAAGGGATCGAATGCGAGAGAATGCATTCTAATCTCCCAAACACTCTGCTTTCTGAGTTATTGTGGTAACACATTACACATGTTATGTATCAATGTTTGATCAAATTGTGATTTCTAAGCAATGTGTACCCTTTTCGTAGTGGCACGAAATTCCTGTATTTTCATTCTGTATCTGTAGCATTACATTCTGTTTTGCAATACAATCATACCTAGTTTGTAGGGATTAGAAGATTAAGAAATCACTACTTGTTTAATATGTGAGCATGGCTGGTTAATTGTTGCTTGTTCTCAGGGCGTGGGAATCTTTGTCAGATGTGACGTGCTGCCGGTCTCTTGTTATAGTTTATGATGGCAGATGTATCCTTCAGATTGGTTTTGCAGCAGAATCTTCTAATGGTGATGGCAAGGCTGTGTCTGTGGATGCTGATAAACTGATGCAAGGATCACTCTATCGAGGTGTTATGAAATCAGGAGTTCGTAAGTACTTGCCAAGGACTCTGCATATAGTCTGTTGAAGTTTTTCAACTATTTTACCATGTCACATCTGAACTAGACTTCCAGCAACGATAATCTTGAGACCACCTGTTTTTTCAGAGAGCTATTTGGCAAACCTATATCTTTATCCTGGGAAATCTGAGCTGCCATTTCTGCCTTCAAATACACAGGTTCAGTTTTCTTCTTAGATTTTTTTTTAATTTTTTTTTCCCCCCAATTATGTGTATCTGTTCAAGTAAATATGTTTGTTCATCCAGTGATTCGTTCATCAAGAATACACACACCTAAACGGTAACTTGATGTGCACAGCCAGCTTAAAGATACATCTTTCTTAGTTTCTTCAGTTATGTGCATTAGAACTCACCTTTTATATCTGCTTTTAACGATGGATAACACGATTCCCAACTTTTCCAGGCAGTAATATTGCAGCCACTTGGAGACAAAGGGATCACAATAATTGGTGGTGACACGGTTAGAGGATTCACATCTGCAGATCAGGTGTGTCCTTTTCGACTTTGAAAATATTGAACCCTGAAAAAAAAAAAAAAAATTTACTTGTAACTGTCATCTATACATTAAGAGAGTGCAATTGTGTGTGAGTTTCAATCAATTGGTTTGACACAGTTAGACAAAGGGCTGTTGCATACAAGGATCATATTCCTTCATATTTCTTTCTTGTTATGTGCTTTTGATAGTGTATATATCAGTAAACCTATATTCTTCAAAATGAAAGTATCTAACTTGTGGCCGGTTGATCAAACTCGTTGACATAGTCAATTAATTAAGCACTGTCTGTTTATTTATTGTTATATGCATTTATCTATTTTTCATGTAGTTGCACTAAAAATTGAAATGTTTACAGGCATGGATTTCATTAATTGGAGAGAAGCTGGATTCTACTCTAGCAAAATATGTGGATAACCCCCCATTAGTTGTGCAAGATCCAGTTTTCAAGTAATTAAACTATGAAGCTTGTTGATATTATCCCTTCATGCAATGGCTGTGGCCTTAAGCCAGGTACTTTCTCATTTCTGATTTGTACTGACTGCATCACACAGCGTAAAATCATTTCAAATTATTACATTTGCATGGGAAAAAAGGATTATGTGACATATTTGCAGTCAAGTTTTCAATTTGAGCATGTAGAATATATATATAAAATATCTCTCTTCTATCTAATTCATAAGGTGTTTATTTTCTTTCTCAGGATTCTCAAGCAACAGATTTATCATAACAGAGAACGAAGAATGGCGATTATTGCGATCATATTCTGGTGCCAGGAAATTCTGCTGCAATACCCGATTGATAGCACTGTTGTCCTTAGATATGTAATGTATGCACATAATATGTTTCTTGTACTATCAGTCAGTTAAATATCATGGATCATGCGCATAAAACGGATTCTTCAGAGCTGCTTACTGGGAATTCTATACCAAGGGAAGCATTGGTATTCGGATATTCTAATTCTTAAAATACTCAAGCACCACATTTTGATTGTAAATGCACGTAATTTTGTTCAATTTCTCTAGTAAGAAGAATGTTGAATGAGCCAAGTTGTGCTTTGATTGCGGTTTTACCACCTTAGCTTCAATAGAAATAGATTAGACGTAAAGAACAAATTCGCATGCGTTGCATCGATCATGTTCGCTGCAAAGCCTGTCTTCCTAATCAATGTGTTATTTGTGATGTAAATTATTGAATAATCGCTTTACCATTAATTATCGTCCCTAAAATCATTTGGTCATTCCAAATTTCCAACGTTCTTTTTTCCCTCTTTAATGAACTTCGGTTCATTTGGTTATCACTGAACGTACTTAATGTTACCTCCAATTTGATTTCCTTAAATCACATCAAGAGCATGATGACTAAAATAACACCCAGAAAAAGGGGAGAAAAGAATGCATAATTCATTTATTTTAATTAAGAAAATGAATTTGTATTCATTCTACAAGCAAGGGAAAATTTCATTTCATATTGTCACAAAATTTACACCGTGTAAGAAGTCTGTAATTAATTCATTGCATGTGTATGAAAAAAAGAAAAAGAATAATCAGATACAAAAAAGGAAAAAATTACAATGAAAAGAATGGCTTCTGTTCTGTCTGTGATTTACTCTGTGTTATACACGGGCGTCAATCTGAAAGCACCCAGCTCTGCACTTTGTATTCGTCACAGAAGAGACTTCTCCCATGGCAGTGACCCAGTTGCAGGATCAGCAAAGTAACCCAAAACATAGTCTTTAAGGCCAGTGTCCCAAACCTCGCAGAACCTCAACCGCCAATTGGGTGGCTCAATGGCCTCAGTTCCTAGACCAGGTGCCCTATCTTTTGACCCCTGGTTTTGATCCTCCTGCCAATCAACAACATAGGTTGCTACCCTTCTGAAAAACTTGGCCCTGAAAGTCTCCCAAACCTGGTATTTGTAATGGTTTATGACAGCAACATTTTCAGGCACATTCAGGTGCCTGAAACCTTGTCTCAGCCTAAAATGGTGAACCACATTGAGCAGAGTAACATCAAGCAAATCTGCCCTTACTATAGACTTGTGCCTCTCAGGGCTTTGCAGCCTGCAAGTGTACCCAACAGTGACACCCTGCGATGGATGTGAGCTCAGCCCAGATGGCCCAAAGCTATGGCAATCTGTTCTGATCTCCCCAATCGTCGGCGAATAGGAATAATTCGAAACGAGGTTTCGAAGCGAGTTTTCACCAGGAACACCGTCTCCTCTGTGGTGCCGAAACGCCCTAGGGAAGTAGAAGAACTCATCGACATCAAAGAAGCCAACCCAATGGCACTCGTCTCTCGCTCTCAAAGCACAACGCGAAAAGCCTGCTTCTTGGGTTTTGATCCATGGCCAGCTCTGCCTGCTGACATTGTAGGCCTGCAACTCAAGCTCCTGAACCACATCTTCAATCCCGTCGTCACTGTTGTTGTCGTAAATGAACCAGCGCTCAACTCCAAGCCAAGCATGGTACATAACCCACTCTTTTAGCGCTGGTGCTTGGTTCCACAACATGGTGCAAGCACAAAGCTCGTGCTTCTTCTTCTTCTGATTTTCGTTTCTCACAGTGGATTTAGAACTGTAAATTGTGGCCACAGAAGGCAGAGTGACATGAACTGGAGCTCTGGCGCTGCCAGTGTTGTAACCAATCGTGACCCGAACTCCATGGGTCTTATCCGGGTTGTTTCGGATAGTCCGGGGCAGCAAGCACCGGACAACTTCCTGAGCGGCCGTGACAGCTTCAGTGGTGAGCACAAAACCCTGGTCTTTTTCCCAATTGCCATTGTTGCCCAACCCGAAATGGCAAGTGAGTCGGGTCGGATCCGATTTCCTGTGGGGCCTGAGGTTCAACCCCTTAACGAACACAACCGCCGTGTCTCCATCAATAACCGCCTCGTAAACTACTCTGTCCCAAGGATAAGCCGTCCCGTTAATCCCAGCCGTCCAATCGTAACCACCGCCACGCCTCCGCAAATCGACGGCCTCCGAGTAATTATTCGACGGCAGCGGACACCTTGCTATGGAACGGAGCTCGTCGTAGACGTCGGTGGACAAAACCGGTCGAATAGCAAAATCCAGGTGCGGATTCTTTTCTCCATCTTGAAGAAGCTCATCTGAACCGTTGGATAATCTATGGTAAACGCACTCCAATTGGTCGTTTTGGCGAAACCTATTGGGCACAATGAGAAGAACGTGATCGGGAAACAAGACTCGATCTTGAACTCGAAGAGGGGTCGAGTCTCTGGTGTTGCTGTTGCTGTTTCTGTTAGTGAAAGACTCGAGAATCGAATTGCTTGCGGTGGAGGATAGAAGGGAGAGGGTGGTGGTGGAGGCGGTGAGGACGGGCCGAAACGACGCCGGACGGAAGCGTTCGGAGGAGAGGAGCAAGAGGAAGATGAAGAAGGAGAAGCAGATAATGAGAGGCCTTCTCAGGGACAAGTAGTGCTTTGCTTGTGAGTAGGACCGAAGCATGCGCTTCCGCTTGCGGCGTTGCTCTGATGAGTCCATACCTGACATTTGTTGCCAAAAATGGAAAGAAAAAAACCCAAAAAAGTGGGAGTTTTTCTGAGAATAATTAGAAGGGGTAGGGGATTGGGGTGGGTTTTGAATAGATCTGCTGCGGCTGCCGACAAGTGGGTTTTTATGAAAGTAGAAAACTTTCGGGGTTTTGAGAAATGGGTCTGGCGTCTCCGACCATTTGAGGAAGAGAGAGAGAGAGAGTCTATAAAGGGGGGCTGCTGGTGGGGGGTGGTGAAGAAGAAGAAAGAAGTGTTGACTGGGGCAGAGGGTGGTGGTGGAGATTAACCGGTGATTAGTTAATGCTAATCAGTCTTGATTATTAGTTAAAGTGTTTTTGCTGAATTGGGATGTGACTGTTGAGCCAAGAAGAAGAGAATAAAATTGGCTGACCGACCGAAATAATTGGGATTTGAAGTGGACGCTTTTTTCGGGGCTTCATTTTTCTGAGCATATTATTTGTATAATAAGGCTTGAACTAAAAGACACCATACATGATTTAGCGGAGGAGGTTGCTCAGAAACTACACCTGTTTTTTACACTTTTGTTGTTAATTGTCGTTACTGCTCTGCTCTCCCTTTTCCATACACATGAATGCTTGATTGCGAGCCTATTCACTTTATGCACTCTTCATCAACTAAAACTACAATTCCAATATCAAAAACATTGATTAGAAAAATAGTAATAAGTAGTAATACTGATAGCTATATTAGAAACATGTTTAAATTTTTATTAACGTAAAAATTACTTTTAAATTCTTCTGTCAAATGATCCGAATGCGACTTAATTTTCCTAGTCAATGGAAATTGACACAACACCCACTTCGCATAATTTGTAATTTGATTATGTCATTACCGGTGTACAAAATATAAAAATATGGCAAGATAAGGTGCCCTTGGTCATAAATTTTGTTTGATCTTATTTTTATTCTTCAATGGTGACAACCATAAGTTTCATTCACATGTCGTTGACCCATTTATTCCTCTGCTTTAGCGGCCAGTGGTTTATTGCTTGAAAGTTCGATGATTCTTCTACAAATGCTCCTGTTAAGGTGAAGGTATTTCACAGAAGTTCAACAAAATAAAACGTGTATTGCATAGCTTTAGGATACCGTCTGTCTTTTAACAATACAATTTCAGATTTAAAGTGTGATTTGGAAATCATGAGACGTTTTATTTAATGAAAGACATTTGTGAACTTTAGTGTTTGTGTTGCTTTAATTTCTAGTCTTTTTTGTTTTGTTTGGGAAAGTTATATTCTAAACTATCTTATTATAAAGCGAATTTGCAAGATGTTTGTAGTTCAATCAATTAAAATCATTTACAAGATATTTGTAGTTCATGTGTCCGCACTGCCCTAATTTGATCTCACTCACATATGCTAATTTCTCGTTGTCTTACACTTTGTAAAGTTGCCTCTTTAATGTCCAAAACCAGATATGACATATACAATCTCAAAACTTTCACTGATATATGCTTCATGCATTTTAATATTTACTCAAAGAAAAAATTAGTTTATAGCAAATTGCAAGTAGGAGTTGTTTCCACATTGACAATTGGGCATCCATGTGTTGTCTAATGAGCTGGTATTGGTAGACATTCATTCCACAAGAGCATGAAGCTTTTTCTTTTCTTCTTCTTTCTTGTTTTGGTTTTTTGGTCAAGAAGGGGGGTCCTATTAGCTATTAGCTGGCAAAAGGGTTGGGTTTTAGGACTTATAAGGATACCGTGTAAAGCACGAATTAAGGTGCATAATTTCCCATGTTTCAACATGTGCTTCCCACGGTAATGCGAACCACCTCTCTCTATCGTTGTGATTCATTTCTTGCATACTCGGAAAGATATATATTCTCTGCAAAATGAATGAGTCAACAAGTCACCATTTTCCAATGGGTTTCTTTTTTCTTTTTTCTTTTTCTTTTTTTTTTCCTAAGAAAAGAAAAGAAAAGAAAAGAAAAACCATTGGTGATTGAAGAGCCTTGAAGCACTCGTGGTAATTAGCAGAGCAACGGACAGTGACCGGAAAATGCGTTATTGGGTACATGTTTTCTTGCCCGAAAGAAGTTGACAAGAAAAGAAAAACTGATAAATATACAAATAAATAAAAAGAACAATGTTGGCGTAGCTTTGAATTTGGGTAATAAAATTATGGTTCGTCCATTTTAAAGCTTGATTTTGAAGGGTTTGTAGTCTAATTCAACATAGTAATCAGAGAGGCCAGTGAATAAAAGCATTTATAAAGTAAAAGATGACATATGCCTGGTTGAAATTTATGATAATTCAGAGGGATATTAATAATATTCAAGGTGGAACTCCATATTCTCAGCTTTCTCTATTTTTTTCTTTCGAATTATGATTAGCATTTAAGAAATAAGAATCAAGAGGTAGAAAAAGGCAATCCCTTTTGATACATTGAATATACCAACGGGGCCTAACCCAATGGAAAAGAGTATTGACTTGCATATCCGTGGTCATGTTTAAACTCTGATGACACATTAACAGTGTGTGTGAGAAATTTTTATCCTCCTCTTATAGTTTAGACTATAACTTGTATTTTTTTTTTTAAGATACATTGAATATTGACAGACTAAGACAGTTTAGAAAACAACAGAAAATTATAGTATTTTTCTCGTATAGTAAGTTTATGGGAAAGACTGTAATGACAGAAATGAATACATTTGGCGTTTGAGCATATTCTTTAGGAACACCAAGAACAAGTCTTGCTCTTATTAATTAAAATTCAGAAAGTGTTGGAAAGTATTTAGGTCATTGACATCATATACCACTACCGTTATTGGTCTGCATAAGTCCAGTTGAAGGGGAAATTATATATGTCCACTAGTTCTTAAATTAATATCAAAAGATTAGAATATTAGCACATTATTATAATTTATAAGTTAGGATAGGAGGACAAGGGAATATTGTAAACTGATAAGCCTGTCTGGCATGGTCCAGCCCCAAATGGAGCCTTTCCAAGTTGCAGGTCGAAAATGGCCAAGTTTCTATCCTGCCTGCCATCTCCACAGCCCAAACTTGTTGTCCCCGAGAATTAGGTCATTTTCTGACCTAAAGATAAAAGGGGTTTTCTAAATGCACTCAACTTTTGACAAAGTGCAGCATCCGAACAAAATTCGAAGTTTTCCATGATACCCTTGGGCTGGGTGCACATTAGCCTACTTTATAACTTTTGCATTTGCATGCAGATAAAGTTAGGCTAATTGGCAAGTAATGTGTTGAGGGCGAAGCTAGAATTGTAAATATTAATTTAAAAAATGCATATGTAATTAAAACTTACGTATTAAAGCTAAATAATTTTCCGTTCTTTATGTACAAATTTGTTGGAAGGGGGCCATATAAACAAGCTTCCTCTTACTATTTATCCAAGACAACATGTAAATATAGATAGGAATTTAGAAAATTGGGGGGACTAAGGCTACCCTTAGCCTTAAAGCGGCTCCACCAGCCAATGGCGCTACTTTGCACTTGAGTTCAATCCTCCTTTCATAGACTACCCATTCGATTTTTTATTTTTTTAAACTTGCATTTGCCGGCTCCAGCTTGTAGAAAAAGGGAGCCCAAGAACATAAGTTTTAGAGTTTGTTTTCCGTCCGGCCCAACCTGGTGCCAATTCGGGCCATTTCCTAGGCGAGAGCATATATTTAATAATGTATGGCTTTGTTTGGATTTTAACAGTTTGCGTTGTTTTTAAGCCGAAATGATTTTTCTTGTTTAGTGGTGGAATGGGCGGGAAATTAGATTAACGTTGACAGCCATGAATTGTTATGGTTATTTAGACTCTTAAACTAAGTTCAGGGTTTAGGGTTTAGTTATGGAATTATTTAGATGGTGATGGCACTTGGGATCGCTCGAAGCTAAAGCCAGCTGTACAACGACATGAGTTACAGAGAGTTGTCGCTTGCTACAAACAAATTGTTGCTGAAAAACCACCATGTCGGTGTAGCATGCTTAGTTTTTAATATAGCAGCCCACGTTCTAATATGTGTATTGTACGAACCAGACAGTCTACGGACGCGTTTATATTTGCAGAAATAAGAAAACTCATTTACTGATCTCATCATATATATACAGCAAGTAGAGTAACAACAATCCAAGAACAGATGAGTTTGTACAGATTTAGTTTCCCTCCCTTTACCGGCAATTGGTGCAGGTAAGTAATAAATATAACACATGCTACGAAGACTCTACTCTGGTCTATTGCAATTAAATCTGAAAGCTGCTTTTAGGAGGAAAAGGACGACGACAACGACGACGAGGGCACGTGTAATTATAAATGGAGCCCCCCTTTGCTCCCACTATCCTCCTGTGCATCAATATGCCACATTGAATTAGAAATTTCATAAATTATGCCCACCTACATATATGAACACTTGATCGGCATTCAATTTAATGTCTTCAGGTCTTTCCATGCCCCATGATGCTTGTCTCTCTCTACTAAGAAATAGATCCATCAATCATCAAACATTTTCCACTTCAAACAATTCTATGATTCTTCTATCTTAGGCGGATGATCTGAGAAACAAAAAGACACAGTCGCTTTTAAATCATATCATTGAGGATAGCGTGCAAAGTACAGAATTATATGCTATAGGGAGAAAATGTTCAAGGAAAAAAAATAACACAGAAAAGCAAAAAATCAAGCAATCAGAGTTTCCAACATAGTGGGAAGTTGATTTACGATTCAACTACTCAAGATCATTGCAATCAGAACTTCAGTGAGAAGCTGCGTTGTATATGATATGATGACAGCTCCACTAACCAATTTGTGTGGAACGGCAACCTTAATCTAACGGAAACAAAATAAATATTGCACTCAAATTTTTGGAGGGTCTAAAATCCTAATAAGATTGTTGAAGTTTTGCATACATACTCAACAACCCACAATTGAAAACTTCGCAATGTCTTGGCACTGGGTGTTTTGTTAACAGAAAATGTTCTCATTTCAGAGCCAATCAGGAAAATGTTACCAAAGCAGTGAAACTGTGATAGCTAAAGTGATATTTAATCAGATTCACAAAATTCTATTAACAGTGGTGATCTTGTGCCAACAATTATAATTTCAATGCAAAAACATATTCACTACATTGTTGCAGAAGATCCACTAAGAAGTTCTGCATAGGAATTATTTTGAGAAAAACTACTGCCAAGTATAAATGCAACAAAAAGTGGATCCAGCATTGTGTTAATAGGCAGACAAGAAATTTAATGAAACAACAGAATTAGCAGTACAAAATACATTGCTACGTTTTGATATCAGTTATCCTTACCTTCTACTCGGGTTCCTTGATGCTATAGACGTAACTGGTGAAATCCCAAGCCGACTGGCATTGCAAGCTTGAACCCTCTCAGCATCTCGGACTATGGTCTTTGGTGTTTTGTCTGGATAGTGCCTTGTATTCAACCTTTGGGCATCATGAATTTCTGCCACTGAGTTAACGGTAAACGCACCCCTACTTTGGTGCTGAAATCTTTCACTGTCAAACGCACATGATTCAGCACTGTTATCTCTATTAGGTATGTTAGGAATAGCATTGAGTGAGGGGATGGTTCCAGAAGAGAGCCTTGCAGTAGAACATCGCCCATCAGTTCTACGCCAGAACTTGGAACTCAAGAATTCTGCACCGGGAAGCTTGCAGCATGTGTTTTCTGCAGATTCAGTGTTTGGAATCCTTCCACTTGTTATTGCCAAATCATATGATATTTCATCCAGTGCCATCTCAAGGCCATGTACACGTGTCTCAAGAGAGTTCAACCCACTCTGAGAGCTCCCAATAAATCTCTGAACACATTTTTAACAGGGGATTAGGTCAGCAGACCAGAAGCTTTCTAAGAATTGTGCATCACTATGAATAATGAAATCTTCTCCTGATGCCTTAAGTAGGTAATAGGATATGATTTTCAAGAATAAAACTTTGAAATGGCAAAATTGACTAATAAATCCAGTAAGTAGAGACTAAGAGAAAAATGGTCAGACCAACTTTCATCTAAAGACATAAAATCTTAAAGACCAACTAACAACGCCTGTAGGCATGTTTTATCTCATTCCCATTATCAAGTTTTTAACTTTGCGGAGAGCAGCAACAATGAGCTATGAGAGCCTCAAGTGTGTAAATCAAAGCAGACTAACTTCAATTAACAATAATAACACCACCTTAAAATAAAGTTGAACAAAAAAATAAAAGAAAAATACTTATAATGCCTCAGGTTGTGCTATAATCCTGTGGTGCAAACATTTCTGGTTAAGAGAAAAGGTAAACAAGTATCAGGAACATACCTGGAGAAGGTTTAATAGACTGGACTGCTGGTTTTCAATCTGAATAAGTTGTTCGCGGATCAAGTTGAGATCTTCAGCATCCTTTTGGCTCTCATAAACTTCTTCTGCAGCATTGCTGACTACAACATCTGAGTCAAAGTTCTCATCCTCATTAAATGGAACCACACGAGACCCAGATTTTAAACCACCAAATTTGTGTACTTTTTCATCATGGATCTTACTGAAGAGAACACGTTTAGTTTCTGGCATGTTATTTCCAATGTGCTCATTCTTTCCTGCTTCCGGATCTCCAGAGTCACTCCTTAGAATACCATCCTTATGGACCAGCTTTGAAGAGGGAGAGTTTGGCATTGCGATTTCAATTTTCCAATCAGAGGGTTTCTTGTGGTCCTGCTTAGAGAACAAGGATGTTTCTGATTTTCTCTCATTTCCTTTTTTGGCTGTGGTCACCAAAGAACCATCGGATGGAGGGGACCTGTTTGTGGTGGGGACTGTTTTCTTTGGTTGAGGGGTCCTAAAACTGGAATCGTCGGAACTTTTGGATATGGGAGGAAAGCATCCACCAAACCCATTATCTGGCCCCATGGGAAAAAGTCCAAAAAGAAAACAGAAGAGATGCAGACAGAAGATTAGATGACATTAGACAGGTTCAAAAGGTGTTTAACTTCAAAGGTAATAGCAGAATGAAGAGCACAACAGGACTTACTGAAATTGGACAAATTAACACCATACGGAAATAATTTCATAACTAAAACAATAGCTTTAGAATTCAGATTCATTGGAAACAAATCACATTTTCCCTTTTGTTTGCTTTCTCATGTGATAAAACTGTTTGACCAAATTTATGAACAAGTAATGAACTTGCAGGCATCTCTGTCGTTTATAACTCGATGTTTCTCAAACAAAGAAAATGCCTTACCAGTTGAAGATCTGGATTGAATTGGACCAGAAATCTCCTCGGAATCTCCTGCAATAAGAACCTTCCACAACTCCAACGTATGGTTCATAGTCTCCCGGACTACCTTCACCTGTTAAAGAATGAAATTAATAAAAATCCGGAAAAAAGTACATTCGAAAAAGAAATACAATTACTGAAATGATTGAAGTCACAATATTTTCTCCTCTTTTTCTATCCTTTCTCAGCAACCAAACAACCGATTGGGGAGGAGGGAAGACAATATACCTTATCAAATCTCCGACTTTCCAGGACATTCAAACACGAAGCTTTATATATCGCCGTCAAATCTCTCTCCACCGAGGCCACCTTCCCAAGCGCCTCAGCCGCGGCCTTCCTCACGGCCCAGTCCTCAGCCGCGCCAAGCTCCTCTTCAGCTGCACCGGGTCAGGGTCGGGCGCGGCGTCGATCGCGGCGGCCAGGCACAGCGCGGAGCCGATCTGAGAATTAGAGTCCTGCTCCATCGCCAGCGTGTCCATCAACGGCTTTAAAAACGCGGAAGAAAACGACGGCGTCGTGATCTGGGACGACATCGCGGCGACGGCGTCGACGCAAGCGGATCGGACGGCAGAGTCGGGGTCGCGGAGTCGGCGCTGGATAGTGGAGATCATCTTGGACAAAAAGGGAGCCAGAACGTCGCCGTGGGAGTTGGACAGTAGAGCGAGGAGAGAAACGCACTGCTTGCGGACGGGTGGCTTGGAGGAAGAGTCGGTGTTGTGAATGCAGATGAGGAAGGTAGCGAAGGAGTCGTGGGAGAGGTTTCTGGCAATGGCGTCGAGCTCGGCGGTGGCCATGGCCAGAGTGTCGCGGTCCGCGAGCTTGTTAAGGCAGGTTATGACTCGCTGCTTCAGATCCGGGGACGACGACGTGGCGGCTGGTTGCGGCGGGCTGCCGAGTGAGAATCTTCTTGAGAGAGAAGACGCCATTGTTTGCGTGGTTAGGTGTTTGATGATATGCTGCAATGAAGTAGAAGGGTTGATTTTAATTGAGGGATGAGGAGGTAGGGTTGTTTGTTGGCACTGGAATTGGGTTGAGGCGGTTGAGGCGGTGGTGGGGGTGTGGAGAGTGATTTGGCGGCAGAGTTTGGGGGAGTGATGGGTGTGTCAGTTGGACTGGTCTTTGTGGGGGTTTTAAATGTTTGAGAGGGAGGAGCGCTGAGTGGACCTGGTAGAGGAAGACTCAACATTTCGGTACATTTTTATTTATTTATTTTTACGCGGGGAAAGTAACTACCCAGTGTGCCAAAGGGGCCAACTTCATTTTTCTTTTTACTGGTTTTTAATACGGAGTAAAATCAAACCAGGTGTAAAAGGACAACTACATTATTTTGACCATATGGCATCTACTAATAATAGCAGCTTTGAAATTTAGAGTTTTAGACTGCTACGTGTATAATTGAGTCGAACGGAGTGCAAAAGAACACATTATTTTGCATAGTATACATTTGTTAATAATAAAAACTTTAAAATTTATTTGAAATAGATATTTTATTCAAAAATAATAAACACTATAAGAGTGTACAAAAGATAGTACTAAAAACAGTCAATACAATCTAAAACTCAAACATGAGAGACATGAACAAATGTTTGATCTAAAAAAAGATTCACGTCTGAACAACTTAAGGGGAAACCTTGAAAAAACCACGGGAAAACCACAAGAAAAGAGAGAGAAAGAAGAGGAAGCATGAACATCCCTTCAATCACCACATCAACAAAATCTTGACAACACCAGAAACTTGCATCCTACAACAAACACAGAGCCAGAAAAAACAAGCAAAAAATTAGATAAAAAATAAAAAAACAAATAAACCAAAAGGGCACAAATGAACAGGTTGTAGACTACATGTATTGCATTATAAGTGAGGATTTTAAATTTTTATTTATCTAGTTTGATCGTTTAAGTATCGTTTCCTAGTGTATATCTTATGTTGAGTTGTTCATATGCTTTCTTGGATAATAATTGAATCTTAAATTTTATGAGTTATATACATCATTTATGGCAGTTGGATTATTGGAGTTTATTTTGGGGCAAGCACATGCATGGAGATATATATTTCAGATGCCACATGGGAAGAAGCTAATATACGAACGAAAGAAATTAGCAGGCCACGTTGCTAAGAGCCAGTGAGCTTATAATGATTGGCAGGGTTTCCAACTTAATTAAGGGGTTTGACAATCCCCTAATTATTATTAATTAAGTTAAATCTTATCCAAAACTTATACGACATCATGTTAGCCAATGTGCCATGCATGAAGCTAGGTAATAAACACACGCATCACACATATATTCCACATGTGATTGCAGGGAGCATCTTTCTGTGCTTACCTCTGAGGGTAAAAAAGATTGAAAATAACAAAGAAAAAATTTGTGTGGCATTGAGTGGAGGTGAATTCTATGAGTTTGATGTTGTCAATGAATTTTTTGTTTTGGTTGTAACCTTTTTATGGGTCGTTGTAATGACCTTTATGGTTAATATATTTGTATTGCTCTTGTGGCGTAAGTTATGAATACAATATCCTCCGGTTTAAAAAAAATAAATTTATAAAGGCTAAAGCCAGAAAGAGTGAATAACAAAATTAGGTACTGGGGAGCATGTGATCGAGAGGGAGAAGATAAGGGAGGCACAACCTTGTTAAAGTGACCTAGAACCAGGAAGTCACGTGACACCTAAATCTTGAATATTCAATGAACTAAATCTAGCAAGAGTGTCTCTTCTCTTCTAGCAAAAGAAAAAAATAAAAAAAGTTGGGGTGTGGTGCAAAAAAGATGCCTTCTGTTTCTGACTTCAATTTTACTTGATGTAGACTCTAGTTGATTAGGACCCACTACCTGGTTTTGGTTAATCTTTTCTTTGAATTTTTAAATTTGAAGTTATGGGGTCTGCTAATGAATTTGCTCCTTTGTGAAAGAATAAACTCATGTTATGCTAATCACGATGTTTAGTGTGTTTCATTTAGCTGGGACCTAACCCTAGAGATTCGGCTGTGGGGCTTAAAACGGGGTCGTTGAAAGACGACCCTTTATCCATCTTTACCTACCAAACCTAATGGCTAGCTCTATATGCTAATACAAAACCTGCAATATGGCCATATCGCAATTACAGCATATTTGATGCTTTTTAACTGAAAGAGCCCCAAGTTGGTACAAAAGATAAATAAAGAGCCTCCGTGATTTAAGTTCGAATGAATGAGATTATGAAAAAGAAAAAGATCATCAAGGAAGCTAAGAGAGAAAATGCTAAACTGCAACTGGCATACATCATAAGGGTAGCCCTAATTTTAAGGGAATGTGTATGGTGACGCTAAATAAGTTAGAATTCATGTGACATCTCTATGATTCTTTTGTTTTTTGATGCAAAACGGTTTGGCAGCTTCCGGTCCTCTTCTGTTGCTTTCGCGTACTATATTTCAATCGAAAAAAGGCATGTTTGGGTACTAATACTACTAATTGAGCATATTCAAATTAACCCTTCTTTTTAACTAGATATAGTTGTAAACTTGTAAGTAATATTGGTCATGGAAAATTATATGCATTACAAAAAAAGTGGATGTTAGATTAGGTAGCTTGAGATTCTGAGGAATTTTGAATGGTTTTGAGATGAATTAAAAGTACTAAAGCGAGCAACAACCGAGCATGGTGTTTAGAATATATCAGTTTTTGTTTGTGCTGCTTTTGCATAAAATAGTAGTTAGCAAAAGTAGAGTTAGTACTGCAACGAACTTTTGGAATGTAATTGCTTTAATTATTTAATTATGCCCCATTTGATTGCGTAGAAAGTGGAAGACATGTAGGGAGAGAGAGAGAGAGAGAGAGAGAGAGAGCAAGAAAACTAAACACCCAATAAGCACAATTAGCTTAACAAAGATGCATGCCTCATACTTAACACAACATGTATAATCATTAAAATGAACTCGTTGAATAGTATTCTAATGTATTAATTAAATATTATATTATTAAACTGTCAATTTAAATAATTGATTACGAAAAAGATACTGAAATGCAAATTAAAATATCATTTAAACATCAATAAGCTTTACGTTATCTTAACTATAATATTGAAGTATATCCATAACCCTTGCATACTTGCCTTCAAAGCTGAAACCAGCGTTCATGAATCATGATATATATGGGTGAGAAGAATCAGCCAGTCGATCTTTTCATTTGTCAACTTCGTACGTCCACTACACATATTCGATATCGTTATGGCAAGGGAACCTAATCATGAGTGAGGGACATGTTTCTTCAGAGGAGAGAAAACTGAAGATGAACACGCATGTGAGTTTGAATTTGAGTCTCTCTCTTGAGATATGAAGGCAAATTCACGGGAAAAGGAGGAAGTTCCTTCTCTCTTTTCTCATCCCTCCTCACTTTTAACAAGTTTTGACTTCCCACTTCATGATTATAAAAAAATCAAGCTGTAAGAGAGTTGTAATTTAAGTGGTTAAGAGCAGTTATTCTTGCATTCAAAGTCATGAGTTCAAATTCATTCATTTAATATCGCTTGTATGTATAATAAAAAATTTGAACCAAAAACTGATCTCTTTGAACGCATTGCATAGTAGGTGATCTCAATGTGCCCGGAGACTCGTTTAATGCAGCTATATGAAAAAACAGCGGCATATAGATCTGAAGAGCTATAGACAGTACACACGAGATATAACTTTGAGTTGGGCGGATTGGTCCTCCCGATCTCGTGTTTGTCATTTGAAGTGTTGTTGTCGTTTGGACTTTTATGCCATAATATAATAGTGCCAAATAATAAATGTTTCCTTTTAGATGGTCTACAAGCGCTGTTGTTGGCCTGATTAATAATGAAAACAAACACGCAATTCTGTTCTGTGGGTGCACACTATTGATAATAAACCGACACAAACTTTGTCTATTGCTCCTTGTCAAATCAAATTAAAATTATGGAAACTCATAACTTTACTGAAAGACCACTTGGCTAAAATAATAATTCGAGCTCTCGGACCTCCAAGTTTAAAATAATTAGATATTTAATAAGTATTTTATGTTAAAAATTAATTTTATATTTTTAATTTTGTTCGTTAGATTACATTCGAATGCAATCTAACAATCGAGATTAAAAATATATAATTAATTATTAACTTAAATACTTATTATACGATGCTGTTTTAAAGAAATGGGGAGATGGCTCTAAATTATGTGGATATATTGGATTGGGCGCCTGGCCGGCCAGTGGTCCATGGGCATGCATGGCCATGTTGTTTGACTGAGAAGCAGACCCCATCTGATAAGCTGTTCGTTGGATTGCTGCTAGGCCTTTCACATGGGGGAGGCCAAAATGTAGACCAAAACCATCGAATTCTTTCAAGTAAATATCCCCTATGTCTTTTTTTGGCTTCTCTTCCATTTCCATATATGTGTTTTCCCTCTCACTCGACACTCTCACATGCAGCTTGTGTTTCCGTATAAATTTGAATGATATGGCCAAGTCGATATGGACAAATATACATATTTATTTGCTTGGTTGTACCAAAACTTAATTCATCATCAGTTAATATATACAGATGAGATTCAGGAGGCATGTGATATGAGGCTGAGGCACTGCATTATGCATATGCATCCCCACAAAAACATTCTCCACTTCTTCGCTTAACCCTGTTAGTATGTTAGCATGCAGCATTTGACCACGTCTCCATTCTCCAACTAGATAGTACCCTTTTTATGCGTGTGACAATTCTACATGTATGTGGGATCAACGCATATCAAGTATATATATATTCACTGTATATGTTGGAGAAGTTTGATGATTGCCATACCCTACGAGCTTGATTGGTGGGCAAGACAAGTAGAATTAACGAGTTGATCAACTTAATCCAATCTTATGTTCGATACTAAAAAATAAATGAGATTAGACATGCATATATATGTATATATCATAGAGTTTAAGGTTGACACTCGAGTCATTGCGAAGTCTATTTATGATATTTAAGCAGCAATGTTATGAGCAAGCATAATACACATACTATACTCAGCTTAAAAGGAAGAACTGAGCTGAATCAATATAATATCTCCTGGCCGTTGTGGTTTCACATAATATATATAGCATATATAATTCGTCAAATAATTGTGGTGCAAATAAATTTATGACT